GACAGCTGCGGAGTGGGAGAAGCAGGAGGTTCACCATGGGAAAGTTCATCATCATCCACGTCATGAAGATTAAAAAAAGGTAAGGGTAAATTGGTGGGAAGGAAACTTGGAGATGTGGGAGGACTGGTATAATACATAATGTGCTCAAAAAAGATAACAGTCGCAGCTATACGCATGCGTTGAGCAGAAGGATCATAACACAAGTACCCTTTATGGACATCACTATACCCGAGAAAGACACAACGAGCAGTTTTAGAGGACAATTTAGGACGCTCGCGCTTAGGGAGAAGAACAAAACACAGGGAGCCAAATACACGAAGACGAGAGTAGTCAGGATGTTTTGAAAAGAGAGCATAAAATGGACTGGTATTCTGCAAGGTCGGAGTAATCTGGTAATTGATGAGACGGACAGCCGTGGCTACTGCTTCTGGCCAAAAACGGCTAGGAACGTTGGAAGCAAGAAGCAGTGCACGAGTGAGATCCAAAACATGACGGTTTTTTCGTTCAACGAGGCCATTCTGTTGGGAAACACCGGGACAGGATTTCTGACTAAGAATTCCTAAGGAACGGTAAACCTCATGTAATGGAGAAGAACTGAATTCACCGCCAGGATCGGAGCGTACAATTTTTACCGGTTGATTAAATTGAGTTTCAACCATCTTGAGAAATTCAGTAGCAACAGATTTAAGCTCCGATTTAAGACGCAAGAAATAGACCCACGTATAACGGGTAGCATGATCAATAAACAGGGCAAAATACCGGAAACCATGTCGAGAAATAACTGTCGAGGGACCCCATAGATCAGTATGAATAACATGAAATGGCTGATCAATGACAGTAGTACTAGAGGGAAAAGATCGACTGACGGTTTTTGCTTCTACACAACTTGTGCAGGAATGTTTTGCAGGAATACAAACGGAATTTTTGCCAAACAAAGACTGTCTAAACATCATAGCTAACCGACTAGAATGAGGATGCCCTAAACGAGAATGCCAAAGTTCCCAAACATCATTGGACTGACTCGAAAAACAAGAAGGAAACGAAACAGGACTACTGACAGGCCTAGCAGGAGAACTACCAGATGATGATGAACGATCGCGAAGCTCCTCTAGGTGAAAAATTCTCCCCCGCTTACTCCCCTTTCCGATCAGCCTCCCCGTCTTCAGGTCCTGGATAAAACAGCCAGACGGTGCAAACAAAACAGAACATCCTTCCTCGGTAAGTTGACCCACAGAAACTAAATTTGGAACAAGTTGCGGTACATGTAGAGTATGTGGTAATGTAAGATTGGAATCATTCATTACACCTACTCCACTAACTTGTAAATTATTTCCATTAGCAACACTCAATTTTAAGTCACGAACATGTTCCAAATTTGTTAAGCAGCTAGAGTCATTGGTCATGTGATTGAAGCAAGCTGAATCAAGTAGCCAAGGATGTTTCTTACCCGTCGATCCATGGAGAGTAGCAAAGGCTGCATTAATTGCTGTGGGAAGGGACTTTTGCAAAGCGGCGTTCACCATTTGTTCAACATCAACCGCGGACAAACCACCACCTTGGTTGCTGCTGCTTGCGTCGCTGTAATAAATGGCCTGAGACGGACGATTTTGAGGATGATCATAAGCTGCCCGGGCTGGATAATTTCGCCTTGAATTATTGTTGCTCGCTGCTGGGTAATGGCGGCCGAGAGGAGTAGGGCCATTGCCGCCTGCAGCCTGTACTTCTTGTCGCTGCCGAGTGCGACAGTCGAGGACTATGTGGCCTGTTCGTTTGCAGTAGACACAAAAATTCCAGCCGCGACAGTGCTTCTTCAGATGGCCACGTTCATGGCAATGATGACACTCCAACTCGGAGATGGGAGTGCGGCGCTGAAATTGGAATTTATCGGCAGCGTAGGCGGACGATTGTGACGCAGCGAACGCAGTTTCCCCAGCACTTGGACGTATATCCAGCTGTGCTTGAGTTCTCATCCGGGTTTCCTCTCGAACAAGAACCCCCAGCATACCATCGAACTTGAGATCCGCTTGATTGAGGAGAGTGGATCGGACCGTCTCAAATTCGGGTCTCAGCCGCATCAAAAAAGTCAACAAGCGATTCTGTTTTTGCTCGGCAATTGCATCGGCAGAGACTGAATTCGGATGGAGGGCAGCAGCAATGATGTCTTGTTCCGTCCACATTTCTTGGACGGAATTAAAGTACTCCGTTATTGATTTGTCGCCTTGTTCAAGCCGAGCTAAGGCCATCTGCACCTCGAACTGACGAGCAACATTCACCATGGAATACGTTGCCTTCAAATGCTGCATCATCGAATGAGACGTCGAAAACTGACGGAGGCTTAAACACGTCGAGGGATCGACAGACCTGAGTAGCCAAGAACGGACGCGGGCATCCCGCTGATTCCACTGGTCGATCTCCGAGGCAGGGAGAGTAGAGCGTGGCTTAGGCGTGGTTCCATCGAGTATGCCGAGCATACCATGACCTTCGATAAACACTCGGAATTGGAATTCCCATAGGGCAAAATTCGTTGAGGTGAGCTGGACAGATGGGCGATCAGAATCCATTGGCGGAAGCTCTGATACCATGTTGATCAGTCGGAAATGAAAACAATAAATTGAACACGGACACCGGATTTACGTGGTATCCCTGGAATGATCCAGGACTAATCCACGGAAGAGCTCTGAACACTCTTCTAGCTACTGATATTCGTACCCCCTAGCTGCCTTCCACGGCCATACATATACAAGGAAGAAGAAAAGAAAGTCGAACCCTAGGGACGCCAGCTACACACGACCGGGCTCCCGTGCATGGGTTTCATGGACTCTTTACGTCAATGGGCTATAACTATTGGGCCTCGTAATTACAAAAGCAACTACGTACAAACCAATAATATATAACTCGCTAACAGTAAGCGCCCTGTTGAGAGATTGTAAGTTTTGCTTGCTTTGAAATTATTTCCTCAAGATGGCGTTGGTTAATTTCACTGTGGTTGCAGCTCAGAATAAGTGGATTATTATAGGAGTTTCGGTTGCAGCAGGGGCTCTTCTCTTGATGGTCATCGCCGTAATCATTTTCCGGTACCAAAGAAGGCGAAAACTCAAAGGTTCTGCAAGTTGTTAGCTCCTTATCCGATTTGCAATCTACACTCTGCTTATCGTTGTCTTCATCGTCGTGTGCAGAGAGGCGTCTGGCAGAGTTGACATCATCCGATGCACCAAGTGACATAGATGAGATGGGACGAGCTAATGGCGATTCCGTCCACCACTTGAAAGTTTATAGTGTGGCATCAATCATGACTGCTACTGATAATTTCTCAATGCAAAATAAACTCGGACAAGGAGGTTTTGGACCTGTATACAAGGTAAGTTCTTCCTTTTACCATGTACCAATAACTCTGATTCGTTCGGCTTATGTTTCTAGATATAATAGTGAATGGTAAATTAGTTGTAATCTTGTCATAGGGTAAATTGCCAGAAGGAGTGGAAGTAGCTATTAAGAGACTGTCGAAAAAATCAACACAAGGTGTGGTCCAGTTCAGAAACGAGGTTGTGCTCATAGCCAAGTTACAACACAGAAATCTTGTTCGACTTCTGGGCTGTTGTATTCATGGGGAAGAGAAGATGTTGGTGTATGAGTATCTGGCGAACAAAAGTTTGGACTTTTTTATATTCGGTAAGTCAAAAATTGGTACCTAACTTTATAAAGTGTCGTTCTTTCTGGTATAGAAGTTTTAGTATTAAAGTTTTGTATAATTGTTCATCTTTCATCCATGGCACAGACGACGCAAAGAAGTCGGTTTTAGATTGGAATAAGCGTTTCAATATTATCGAAGGAATAGCTCAGGGACTGTTGTACCTTCACAAATATTCGAGAGTCAGAATTATACACAGAGATCTAAAGGTAAGTAACATATTGTTGGATGAAAATCTTAACCCCAAAATCTCGGATTTTGGAATGGCACGCATTTTCGATACAAATGAATTGGAAGCTAACACAAACAAGATTGTTGGAACATAGTAAGTTGCCCCCTACACTTCCTAGTTCCTTAACTTTTGTCTAGTGGGAGGAACCTTGATTAAATGTTACATCAAACGATGCAGTGGATATATGTCCCCAGAGTACGCCATGGACGGTACTTTCTCCACCAAATCCGATGTCTTTAGTTTCGGGGTTATGCTATTGGAAATTATTAGCGGCATGAGAAACCATGGCCTCATTCAATTGGATCCCCCTATCAACCTCGTGGGATATGTAAGTTACTTGCTTTTGATTTTCCTTTTCTGTTGAAATTTTTAGGTGATTGAAGTATAATTATGAGATGCACTAACAGGCATGGAAGCTATGGAAAGAAGGCACCCCATTGCAATTGATGGATCCAACATTGGATGATTCACTTACCTATAAGGACAAGATACTTCGATGCATCAATGTCGGTATGCTTTGCATAGAATATAATGCATACGATCGACCGGATATAACAGAGGTAATATCAATGCTAACAAATGAAGTAGCATTATTGCCCAGTCCAAAACAACCGGCTTTCACAATGTCGAGATCGAGAAAATTACGCTCAAACTCCCCCGACCAGAATGTCTATTCAACGAATAAAGTCACCATAACTACGATGAGTGCTCGATAGAAACGAACATTGAAAAAATCGATCATATTTCTCTCTCCAATGTATTCTTTGTAATTACTTGTTCAATCTAGCTCTTCAGATATCTTCTCACAAGTCTTATGACATTTTTTTATCATTTAGTTTTAAAAATTCCTCCCTACTACCCTAATTACGACAAAGAGGATCTAACAAAACACTCACAGTCATGTCCATCGTCATAACCGATAGATGATTAATGATTTAATGTTGATTAGTCAATTATTAGGCTTTTATTTGAAGCAATCGGCTGCCATGTTATTGTCCTGCAGATCGTCGTTGACCATCTGAAAGCAAAACCCTTCATTTCCTTTCTAATTAAAGCTCTGGCCTCTGAGATCTCATTGCAATGCCGGCAGCCCAAATCAGAAGCAGAGCAACCCGCAAAAGAACCCTTTCCATTTTCATCCCAACAGTTCTGCTGCTATTTTCAATTCCTTCTTCTTCTCTAGCTGCCAACACTCTCACCCAAGGCGGTCCAGCAGTCAACTCCTCCGCCACCTTGGTCTCACCAAACGGCCTCTTCACGTTGGGCTTCAGGCGGTCCGCCGCCGGAAGCTACCTCGGGATCTGGTACATCAATGCGACGAGCAGCTTCTTCTGGATTGCCAACCGCGACTTCCCGATCCGCGACGAATCAGGATCGCTCTCCCTTGACCAAGACGGAACGTTGAAGCTCACCTACTCCGGCGGCGGCGGCGCCGCAGTCAATCTCTACTCTGACAGCCGACGGAGGAGACTAATCGCCACGCTCGATGACACGGGCAATTTCGCGGTAAGCGATGTCGATTCAGGGGATTCGCTATGGCAGAGCTTCGACTCCCCAACGAATGCGTGGTTTCCCGGGATGAAATTAGGCCTCGTCAGCGGGGAGAACAGGAAGGTGACATCATGGCTGACTGAGTCCATCCCGGCGGCGGGGGCGTTCACGCTGGAGTGGGACCCGACGGCCGGGAAGGAAGAATTGGTGATGAAGCACAGAGGCGTGACGTTCTGGACCAGCGGCAAGCAATTGACCCCCAACCGGTTCACGAATCTAGACCTCAGGCTGCAGAGGGTGAATTACAACGTGTCCCGAGTCGTCGCCGGTCCCAACTCCGATTACCTGACGTTCAGGGCTTCCACCAACGAATACAGCTCCACCAACCAACTGAGCTTCACGGTAGTAAGATTGAGGTACGACGGCGTGGTTGAGGATGTAAGTACGAGGATTGTGATTCTGCAGAGTGAGGATTGCCACGGGAATGGGACGGAGAATGGGTGCCGGAGATGGGACGGCCCGGACTGTCGCCGGAGCGGCGATGGTTTCCAGATTCTGTGGGGCACGTTTAGTTTGGGTCAATGGGTGGATGGGAATAGTAACATGAGCATCAGCGATTGCAAGGAACAATGCTGGAGAAACTGTGAGTGTGGCGGGATTAGCTTGGATGGGGTTAACCGTAACGGCACCGGATGTCGGTATTTCAGGTCCGGCGGGTTCGTACAGTTGCCGAATCAGGAAGGAGAAGACCGGTATCATGTTATGATCGCCGGAGAAAGTCAAGCCGATACTTCAAGTAAGTAAGCTATAAAGCTCTAATTGATTTCCCACTTCCCCTGTTTTTTCAATCAATTGCTTAAGAACGCTGTTGGTGTTGTTTGATCTCCAGATGCATCACGGATTAAGTGGATAGCTGTTTCTGTGACTGCGGCCGTGGCTGTGCTGATCTTCGCACTCTGCATTTTGTGGTTCCAGAGAAGGTGCAAGCTTAGAGGTTTGATGATCTGTTGATGCTACAGAGTCTTATTGTATCTTGACATTGAATTGATTTGTGATCTTCTCAGGTTATCTTTGTGTGTGCAGAGAGGCTTTTAGCAGAGTTGATGGCCACTAATGCACCAAGTGATGGAGATGAGATGGGTGATGATGGTGATCAGAGCCACAATTTGAAAATCTATAGTGCAGCGTCGATCATGATCGCTACAGATAGCTTTTCCCCGCAAAACAAGCTTGGAGAGGGAGGTTTTGGACCTGTATACAAGGTGATCATTCTTTTCATCCACCCATTACATTTCTTGTAGCAATAGTAGCCAAGAAGTATGCTTCAACTTGGACTCCTAGACATGACTTGCATAAGTTTACATTTTTTTTATGTATCAGGGGAAATTGTCGGAAGGACGAGAAGTAGCTGTGAAGAGATTGTCGAAACGATCTGATCAAGGTCTAGTTGAATTTAGAAATGAGCTCGTACTCATAGCTAAGTTACAACACAGGAACCTTGTCAAGCTTCTAGGTTGTTGCATCCATGGAGAAGAAAAGATGTTGGTGTATGAATATATGCCTAACAAGAGTTTGGATTCGTTTATCTTCGGTAAGTCGAATTTATGTTGCTCTTTTCTTTTATTTTGGTTATAGAGGTTTCAACCTTTCAGGTTAAGACACTAAGTTTGTGTGCTTGTGGCTCTTTAACACATAACACAGACGAAACAAAGAGAGTACAATTAGATTGGAACAAGCGTTTCAACATCATTGAAGGAATTGCTCAAGGCTTGTTGTACCTTCATAAGTATTCGAGAGTGACAATCATACACAGAGATTTGAAAGTTAGTAATATATTACTCGATGAAAATCTTAACCCAAAGATCTCGGATTTCGGGATGGCGCGTATTTTCAAAACAAATACTTCGGAAGCCAACACAGCCAAGCCCGTCGGAACATAGTAAGCCATCCCCTAGTTTCTACTTTCCCACTTTCTTTACTATCATGAAATTAGCATCTTATATTCGAATTATGTTGTGTAGTGGGTATATGTCTCCGGAATATGCCATCAAAGGCACTTTCTCCACCAAATCTGATGTCTTTAGTTTTGGAGTCATGCTGCTAGAAATTGTGAGTGGCAAAAAGAATTACAACCTCATTCCATTGGATCCCCCGATCGACCTCGTGGAATATGTAAGTTATGAACTCTATTCTTATTATTGAAATTTTGTTGAGTATGAAGAAATGGCATGCATTAAACTTCACACTCCCTTAGGGAGAAAGATTGATATTTTCTAAAACCAATTGCTCTCTTGTTTGCAAACTTGTAGGCATGGAAGTTGTGGAAAGAAGGTTCTCCATTAGAGTTGATGGATCCAACCATGGAGGGTTCCAATAATTATAAAGACCAGATACTTAGATGTATCAATGTAGGACTGCTCTGTATAGAATACAACACATACGATAGGCCAGAAATGTCAGAGGTGATATCGATGTTGACTAGTAATGTCGTACAATTGCCCATGCCAGAACAACCAGGGTTTATCATGACCAGACCAAGAAACCACGAGGGAAGCTCAAGCACTAGTGCCTCGAAATTTTGTTCGAGTAATGAAGTCACCATAACAATGATGGTTGCTCGATAGTTTGAAATACTGCATGATGGATTTATTCAAACTCATAGATTGACCTTTTTTGTAAGTGTGTAAAAATGATAAATTAAATATTTCTATTTCTGGCGACAACTTAAATTATTTACAATCAAGGTTCAAAAAGCCGCTAGACGCAAAATAAGTGTTAGGGTCTTGCTAAGCGCCTAGTCGTTGACTAATCGTGCTTAGACATTAGAAGCAAAAATAACATTTTTATACTAAATGATGAATGAAAGAGTTGTTTTACAACACTTTTACTTCACTTCAAATGATTAAAAAATAACTTAACACTTAACAATATGAAAAATAGCTCACAAGCTCACAAAATACAGTGGCGGAGGCAACATTTGAAACTATCTTTGTCCTCTTTTCATAATTAATATATATATATAAAGATTTAATTAAGATAATTATATCCAAATAATTCATTCATAGATAATAAATAACCGACTAATACAATCATTGTTTTTATAAACAACCACGACGAGATTTCCTATTGTGAAAGAACGCAAAAACAATTGTTGTCTGCACTATTAAGCAAGTCTCTTTCAGTGTATCCCACTAAACAATCATTAGTAAACTGGTGACCAATTCGACTTCGAAACTTGTTCTTAATATAACTCAAAGCTAAAAATGTTTTTTTTCTACACTTGCGGTTGCAATTGGTAGAATAAAGCTAGTGGAATTGTCGTAGTAGCCGGACAATTTGAGGTTCTTGGGGAAAACCAAATAGGCATAAGGAGAAAAGAGATCCGATTAGGTCTTTATTCCTATTGAAATTTTGTTTATAGTATAATAATTAATTTTATGTCAATCTATAAACAAATAATAAGTTGTGTTGTAGTGACAAAATATTCTCATACCACTTACAAATTAATGTTGTTTACTTGTGTTCCATCGTCAATATAAGTGCATATAAAGTATTTTTTCCCTCTTAAGTTTACCCTTGTCCTGTGATAAGGCCCAATAGGAAGCCTGTATTCGCCTATGATAGAATAATAGTTCAACAGTTCACAAAGTTTTTGAGTTATTGAAAAGATCGAGAGAAAATTTTAAGGTTGTAAATTATGTTAATTTCCCCCTTTTGATATTAACTAGCTAGCTCTACCTAATAACACCTAAACGAAATCTAGGTGTGGTCGAAATGACGTTTGAAATTTCTAACTTGCAGCAGAACACCTAAGCGAGGTATTTTAGCTTTGCCTAACACCCAAACCTATTTAAGTGAAAGGTTAAGCATACTTTTTTGAACCATTCTTACAATTAATTATTGTTATCATCGTATCAAAAAGTGTTTTAACAACGAAAACAGAAATTTGTGCATTCATATTTCATACCATATATCTTCCACACCAACCATTATGCTAATTATTTAATTTTCAGACAACTTGCTCAATCAACGACCCCATCACGAGCCACCATTGACCTGGGTTTTTATTAATAAAACTCCTCTCAACCCTATTCCATTACCATGGAATTCTAATGGCTGCAACCCAAGGAAGCAACTCATAAGCAGCAGACAAACGCAAACACCTTCTTCTTATTCTTCCGAGTCTCATCATCATCCCCACCATTCTTCTGCTACTATTTTCTAGTTCTCTAGCTGCCAGCGACAACAGTACTCTGACCCAAGACGGGCCGGCCCTGAAGGGTTCATGTACTAGTGAAGACCAACTACTTAGATGCATCAATGTAGGACTAATTTGCATAGAATACAACGCATACGATAGACCAGCAATGGCAGAGGTAATATCAATGATATCCGGTGAAGTCCCACAACTTCCCATGCCAAAACAACCGGTAGTCATGAAACCGAAAAGCACCGAGGAAAGCTCGAGCACCAGAGAATCGGAAACCTGCTCGACCAATGAAGTTACCATAACAAAGATGAGTGGTCGGTAATGAGATGGTGCAAGTTAGTCACCAAAATGACAGTCTCCATGTATTCACCAGGTCCTTTGTCTTTCACTCTTTCTGCTCAAATGTACAGTACACAGATCATTCATCAGATATCTTTATCGGTCAAAGAAAGAAGACAGAAACTTCTCTCATTAACCTACTTGAATGATCCATAGGATAGGAGAAACTAGTGCTTCACAGTATTAGATTGTTCATGGTGCTTTATTTATGTGATAAGGGCTTGTGTTGTAGCAAATGATAAAGCTCTTCGTAATTGGTGGCCAGGAGGGTGATTTCATGCCCAAACCCAACTCACCCATCTTCAGATGCTCTCAAAGGAAAGAGGTAAACGATGATACAGCCATCAACCAAGAAGTTTGTTCATTTTAATCTGTGGAGCTTATGCACATCTCCAGGAACGTTTCAGATGGTTTATGGCGATGTTTACATGCTAGACAGCTCCATGAAGTGGCAAACTTCGACACCAATGCCAAAACCAAACAATTTGATTGTCATGCACACTCGATATGAGAGTTTGGTTTCGGCATTGGTGCTGAGGTTTGCCACTTCATGGAGCTGTCTAGCATGTAAACATCGCCATAAACCACCTGAAACGTTCCTGGAGATGTGCATAAGCTCCACAGATTAAAATGAACAAACTTCTTGGTTGATGGTTGTATCATCGTTTACCTCTTTCCTTTGAGAGCATCTGAAGATGAGTGAGTTGGGTTTGGGCATGAAATTACCCTCCTGGCCACCAATTACGAAGAGCTTATCATTTGCCACAACACAAGCCCTGATCACAGAAAAAAAGCACCATGAACAATCTAATACTGTGAAGCACTAGTTTCTCCTTGCTTCCACCCATCACATGGAGCCTCCCTCTCCACAACTGTGTGGCTGGAGCATACCTGAAAGCAAAGGAATTATGTTCGTGAACGTTCTCCTCAATAATTAACATCACATCTTGAACTAGGCATGAAAGCTAGGATACAAACCTGGGAGCTGATAGCCGCGACAAGATGCTCCATTGCTTTGTTTTAGAACCGGCCATGTTAGAAACCTTTGTCTAGGAACATAGAACTTCCCTCACAAAGCAGCAAACTTCTCCAGTAACTTGCTTTCCCACATTACTGCATCCCCTTCCCTCGTAAGTCTGTAGTGAAATAAGTCTAAGCCTGAGTAACTTCCTCCATAACCATGAGCCAGATTGAGTTTCTGGTATGATCCACAGGGATCTACTTTTCAATCTATATCGAAGCTATCCATGACCCGCTACAAATGAGAAGCATCCATATTAACTTTGCAACGTAAGCAACATTCCAGGTACGCAAATCTCGAAGTCCCAGCCCCCTTGTTTCTTAGGTAAACAGACAAGATCCCAGCCAACCTTTGCTTTGCCTGAACCCTCACCAAAAACTCAGTCTGGCGAAGTTTTCCCCCCCTTAATTACAAAGAGAAATTCGTTAAAAATGTTAAATTTGTCTCTTTAAATATCTGACACGTACACCAATGAGAATGATTTATATAGGCACACAACAACATGATCGAAAGAGCATTAAGTGGTTTGACCGAAAAATCCATTTGAACCACCCATTTTAACCCAGTCATTACATTGTGGATGGATGTAAGTACTAAGTTCCAAAACAGTTACCCAACAAACACCGAATGAACGGATGGAATACTCACGATCCACCCTACATAATAAAATCCAAATCTATAGATCCTCTTTTATTTTATTAAGTAATTGTAGCATCATGTCATTAGTGTGAAGATTTAAAAAAACGGTTGAATCACATGAGATACATGGTAATATTCACACAAAGGGAACAAATTCTTGATGGGGTTTGTACTTTGTATTCACAAAAATGGCATTCAAAAGAAATATACCATTTTATAAAGTGAAACCTATATAAATTAATTATGATTTCCCCTGATTAATTCAGAAATTAATCCTGCTGTTAGTTAATTTCATAAAGAGATCATCCGCCAAAGAGAAAACTTTATGTGGTTCATTCCCCTACAATTAGGGGTGGCAGTTGGTCGGTTTCGGTTTAACCGAAAACCTGGTTATTGGTTAAACCGAGTCATCCTGGATACCTGCCGACCACCGACCGTGAGAGTGGTCATGGTTAGCCGGCCAACCGACCGGTCGGTCCCGGTTTTAGGCTTGGTTAGCCGGCCAACCGGAAAATTACCTTTTCTATAAAATAAAAAAACATAAAAAAATCGGAATCTGCACCACTCACTAGTCACTCCTATCCTAACCCCTCGACCCTCTCACTTCTCGATTCTTCTTCTGCCTTTCCAGAGAAACCTATCTCTCTCCCTACTCTCTCTCAAATCTCGATTCTCTTCTTCCTTTCTCGACAAACCCGAAATCGCCTCCCTCCCTCACCTCTCTCGTTCTGCCCTCTCCCTCAATCGCCATTCCCTCTGCCTCTCCGTTGACGGAGACGGGAACAACGGTGGAACTCGCCGACATCCTCTCTCTCTCTCTCACTCTCTCTCTCTCTCACACACACTCTCTCTCTCTCTCTCTCTCTCTCTCTCGATATTTCTCCTCCAATCTGAAAGAAGAAAGCGAACCAACAAACCAAGAACAAATCGTTCCCTCTCTCTGCTCTTTCTCACTCTCCCTCGTCTTACCCAGAAAATGAGCCGAAGCAAAGCTTCTCCGACGCTCTCATCTTTCATAGACGAAACCGGGCTCGGGACGCCGGCGATGGTTTCTGCCGCGGTGAGTGAAATCCCTCAAGGCTTCAATTTTTCTACAAACTGATTCTTGTTTGATGCATGTTGAGGATTCGCGTTTTAATGATGATTTTTGGGTTATTGGTTACGAAGGGAGAAGAAGTAAAGGGCGACCGGAGGAGGAAGGAGAAGGAGGTGGACTCTGCGGCGTTAGGGTTATAGAGGAGAGGGGTCGTTTTGGGGCTGGGGGAAGGGGTCGTTTTGGGTAGGGCTGCGGGGTCGTCGGTTAGCCAGTTAACCGGCGGTTACTGACCGCGGTTAATCGGCTAGCCGAGGCTCTCCCCCTCTCCCCCGGCAACCGACCGACACCAATACAGAGCAATTTTCGGTTAGCCAAAAACCGGTCGGTTCAATCACCCGGCCGATTAACTGCTAACCGGAAACCGTTCTGCAAGCCCTACCTACAATTACTACAGACATATTTATTTGGCCACACAAATTAGGAAAAAGGAATGGCCCA